CGCCTACTAACCATTGCCCTGCTGCCTTGTGGATAAACTTTAGTAGGTAAGAGGCTACGAAAGTAGACCTCGAACTAAAAATCTGCGGTGGAACCCCGCATCAGGCACACATGCTTATAAAGCTCCAGTAAGACCACAACATGGGAACTCAATGACTACACTGGTGGATGAAGGCAATACAAGATGGACAGGCTACTAAGGTGAAACCCAACAAGCTGATTTATCGGCAGTCCATTCCACCTCTCCCTCTCCCCAGTCATTGCAGCTACTGGTACACCTGGGTCAAGACAAATGAGAGCAAGATGTTTGATTGCAGCCTGTGTTCCTGCCTCACCACATAATTCAACTCATACGTAGCCATCATCCAGCTCATCATACTTATCATCATTATCGAAACCCCTATACCCCCAAAAGTCATATGGCAATGGACGAGTGACGACGGGGACAGCCAGAGTTGACTGGCGGGAGTCTCTAGTTACATCTCTACACATGGGCGGTATAGATAAGATGGTCGTTTATGCACTGGGATCTAGGCAGCAGTGCAATCCGGTCCTGTCTGTGCGACTAAGCAGCCCTCTCGAGGAGCCACTCTACTCACCCCACAAGGGGAAGGAGCTAGAAAAGGTGCCCTAAACATAGCCTGCCAAAAGAACCAACCTGACTGGGCAACCACACCCAGTAAGCTCATTCTTATGCGGTCTAAATCTATACAACCTTTTATGGTTACTGCATGGAATGTCAAGACCTATCTGGATACTGACACAAATGAATGTTCTGAAAGAAGAACCGCCCTTGTGGCAAAAGAGCTGGCTAGGTATAACATCGTCATAGTAGCCATTACCGAGTCCCGGCTCCCAAACGAAGGTCGACTCACAGAATGGGGGTCCAGCTAAGGTACGGTCGGCCAGTAGAAGGTTTGCCCTCCCAATGAGTGTGTGGCTCTTCCTATGATGGCGATCACGCCATGGTGTGCAAGAAAGGGGGGCTTCATATGCATGAGGCATGACGAGGTAAGGGACCTCACCGCAAATATGTTGAAGGAAATCTGCCGGGATGTCATGGTAGAACTGACCCTCCTTCCATTGGATGGTGAGATCTTCCAACACAGGACTTCAAACACATCTAACAAAGCCCGTGTGGACGTCAGTGCTCGAGGATTCTGGACGCGGGGACAGCAAGCTTTCTTCGACATCAGGATTTTTTATCCCATGGTCGCATGTCACCGTAACCTAGCTCTCGATGCTGCACATAGGAGGAACGAGAACGACAAGAGAAGGGCATATGGGGAGAGAATTCAAAACGTTGATCAAGGCAGCTTCACTCCTCTAGTGTTCACAACCTCTGGTGGGATGGGACCAAGTGTAAGATGATTCTACGCCAGACTCGCGGAGGTGATCTCCGAACAGAAGCAGCAGCCCAGAAGTTACGTTACAGCCTGGATGAGATGTCGACTGTCTTTCTCTCTCCTTCGGTCGGCTTTGCTCTGCCTCAGGGGAACGAGAGCTTTTGCCCCAATCCCGACAACTGCTGCAGATATTGACTATGAGGCTATAGTCACTGAATGCCGCATAAATCTGCGGCTCAACTAATTCAACACAGAGGGATAGGTACTTATGTATTAGGATATTTAATATTAAGGTAATAAAATGGTGGCGAAGGTGTGGCTGTTGGGGGAGGCTGGAGGCCACGTAAAAAAAAAAAAAAAAAAAAAAAAAAAAAATTTAGTAGTAGTGTGTGTGTGTGTGTGTGTCACTAATTGAGCTCTACTGAGCAACTGACGTTCTTGTTAAATAGGGATAACTCTTTGCTATATTGTTACAACTTAATGTATTTTATTTCGTATTTGTTACAATTTTGCTTTGTTTCGTGTGAGATTATGTCAGGTTAGGTAAGGTTATTTGTGAAGCTATTCATTTATAAGTAATATGATCTACATGATCATCTATGGTCAGTTAGAATTTACAAAATACATGGAAGTTTTTGGGGAGGCAGCAGTCAACTGGCTCATTGTAGCAGCAACTTCGGGGAGATCTCAAATGTTAACACTCCAGGGTAGATCGTTACATAAACACAAATCACTGAAGTCTTTCAAATATATCAGTTGGCATTTGACTATTGAGATTTGGTATTACTTGATATTGACTTTGTGTGATTTTGTTGGATCTTCAGTCCTTACGCAGCCACTTCCAAGCATGATTAATGGCACGAAATCGTCATCTGTACCTGTAACAAGTGGGGTACCGCAGGGTAGTGTATTGGGCCCGCTGTTGTTTGTTTGTTTCATAAATGATATGCCTGACGTTGTACACTCCTCCATACAAATGTTTGCCGATGACGCCAAGTTATTTCGGGAAATTAAGAACCAAGCGGACTGTGAAGAGCTGCAGAAGGACCTCTGTGGGCTCCAGGAATGGTCGAAGGAATGGCTGCTGAGATTCAATGTCACGAAGTGTAAGAGGATGCACCTGGGGCGTACCAACGGTAAGGAGGCGTACCATATGTCCCAACGGGATGAAGAAAATGTACTAGTTGAGACTGTGTGTGAGAAGGACCTAGGTGTGTATGTTGACAATGAGCTGAAGTTCTCGGGCCATTGTGAGAAGAAGGTAAATCAGGCAAATAAATTATTGGGTCTTATAAGAAGGTCGTTCAGATATCTAGACGGTCCGTCCCTCGTGACGATCTTCAGGAGTGAAGTGCTTCCCCATCTGGAGTACTGTCACCCCATCTGGTCCCCGAGATATGCTAGGGACTGTCAGTTGGTTGAAAATGTTCAAAGGAGGGCCACCAAGCTGGTGCCTGCACTTCGGCATCTCAGCTACCCTGCGAGATTGGAGCGCCTGAACTTGCCTAGCTTATACTACAGACGGGCAAGGGGGGACCTAGTTGAGGTTTATAAGCATCTCAGGGGGCACTACTCAGTTGAGTGTCCTTACTTGGAGCTGGCGGACGCTCGCCCCACAAGGGGTCACAGCTCAAGATTGAAGAAGCCGCAAGTCCGGAAAACCGTGAGGGCAAACTTTTTCGGAGTGAGGGTTGTAAACTCTTGGAACAATCTACCAGAAAGTGTTGTGACGGCACCGAGTGTGAGCTCTTTCAAGAGAAGACTTGACCAACACTGGAGCGGGTTCAGGTACATTCAGGAGCCGGTGCATGCCCAGTATTTGCCAACAGTGCGTGACAGAGACGTGACCGATCGCCCGGGCGGCTAGCGAGCCGACCTTTTGGTGAAGAATATAAAGGAAAAGAGTCGTGACCGATCGCCCAAGCGGCTAACAAGCCGATCAGTGGCGAAGAGGATAAAAGTAAAAAAAAAAAAAAATGTTGTCGTATTATTATTGTCATATATTTAATTTTATGTACATATGTGGTGGTGAGAATAAGTTATAAAATGTTCATATTTTTATTGATTTGTTTAGGTTTTGACCTGTGAACTTGACCTTAGTTGGGAGAACTTGGAATTAAGAATATAATAATAAATACTGATATATTTGAAAGACTTAGGTAATTTGTGTTTATAAAGATCTACCCGAGGGTCGTAACATAAATAATGGGTAAACTTTACCTAAATGACATTAGTTCCACTATCTTACCTATATACAAACATACTACTATCAATATCACATGAGAGACAACTGTTGCATTAATAAATACACAAAGTGATAAGGTAGTAAAACAAATTTAATACGTAAACGAGGGCTCAGTCAGTGTGGGCTAGTAGTGAGGGAAACTGCTCGAGCCACCCACCCACACACACACACATACACTATCCGAACCAACGTACTTTATCCTCAGAACAGAAACTTATGGCGGACACTCGTAACACTAATGACACCATGAGTACGTACCCCTCCCCCCTCCCCTCCGAGCTGGATAAAATCAAGTGTCGTTACCAAATAAAATATTAAAAACTGGAGTCCCCGCAGTGAAGGGGTTAAAGTGGACATTCAAGATGATGTAAAACAAATAATATTTTTGAATCTTTAAGAATCCGAAAATTGTTGTTACTTAAAGATGTGCAGAACAGTGCGCTCACCCGAGAAAGATTTACTAGTTAAGGAAGACGACTCCATCTGAGCTGGCAGTAGATCACACCATAATATGCAATAACTCTCATTGAAACCAAAAAGACGTATCTCTTTATATCTACCACAGACTCCAGTCAACCAGGTATACCACTAACTTTTTAGATACAGTAACTCATGTACACACTCACACACACACACACACACACACACACACACACACACACACACACACACACACACACACAAAATGAGACTTTAGATGCAGTAATAAATACACACCCAACACACGCAATTATTTATAGAGAGAGACGAACTAGACAGTGGGTCAGTGATCTATGCCCGGGTGTGCTAATACACATAAAAAAAAAAAAAGTAACCATTCTGAAAACCGAAAAATTCCGAAAACCGAAATGCCTCTGGCCCCAAGGATTTCGGATAAAGGATTGTCAACCTGTATATATTTATATTATATATATATATATATATATATATATATATATATATATATATATATATATATATATATATATATATATACACATATATATATATATATATATATATATATATATATATATATATATATATATATATATATATATATATATATATTTATATATATATATATATATATATATATATATATATATATATATATATATATATATATATATATATATATATATATATATATATATATAATCCTTACAAAAGTCTAACACACCTTTCACTGACCTTTCTAAAGACTATAAATATAATTTGAAGTCTATTACTGTTCTTTTTACTTGAAACTGAAACATCCATCCAGAAGGCAATGTGATTGGCCGATTGATGAGTAACGTCACAAGGATGGTTGGTGAATTATTAAGTGATGTGCGGTCACTCGCAGCATTTCGACTTCCCGATTGGCCCTGAGCTCTTGACGTCATAGATCACGTCGAATCTTTTGCTATCTACTCGTCGGACACATCATCTGGATCAGTGGGTCGGTAGCTGCCCTAGATCAAGTGTATCTCTTGAAGATTTTTGGTTCTCGGTATACTGTAGGTAGCAGATTACTTCCCCTTGTTGGGTCATCCTTTCAGTTCAAGTAACACGATACCCCAGGAACGAAAAGGCAACTTAGCGCTGCTCGGCTCCGTGTCCGGTTGAAGAAGTCCTTTTCATAACTGCCTGGTTTATTGATTAGTGTTGACGGTCACCAGAACCGAATGCCGAGGAGTAGATCAAAAGCAAAATCTCGCAAGTCTGTGAAGCGCCTGAGATGGCAGGACAGAGTGAGGGAGAACAGTGTCGTGAGGCAATTTGGTCCTATGAGCAGATCTGCGAACCTTGATCTACCGAGATTCGTGTTTAGTGATGGCACTTTCGGTGATATTAGTCCTAGGGGATGGCCAAACACGAGCAACGTCCAGCAAGACAACGCCATGGTGACCAACCTTATCAACAAGGCCTTAGCTAGGGATGTACGTGACATTGGTCAAATGACGATCCCGATTGAGGAAGGGGAAGGACAGTATTATCTTGGAGTTGCGAGACAGTACCTGGATGAATCACACCCCGGTGACAGGGATGCCCTTAAAGGAGCTGAGAGCCCATTAATTGATGACGTCAGAGAGGAAAACGAGGAGTCACACCTCAGGAACGACGAAAGCGGGTCCAAGACGGCGGACTTGGTCACTCGGTATTTCTTGTACCCTTCTGAAGATTCGGTGGTCACTGAAGACAGCGGGACGCAAACTGAAGTCACAAGTGAGATGAAATCCGTGAGAGACACCCGAGCCAGCAAGGAGACCGGTCTCATGACATGGAATTATGACCATCGGGGTGAACACGACCACCCTTCTCTCCTCTCCCGAGTGGTGAGTTATCAGTTGTCTGTTGCCCCACCTCTTATTAAAATAATCCGTTGTAACTTTTTCCTTGTCTCATTCCGGAGTTACTAATAATACTCGCTCTCTTTTACAGTCCGCATATATAACCTGCTGACTCTGTTATTCAGAGTCACACCCTCGTCCTCTCACCCTTCAAACATAATCTCATACATGAAAATATTTGTTTTTTCGGACGAGAAAAAATGCGAAAATGCCTTGACATTTCATGAAAGTTATACTGCGGAAATGACGAAAATGAGGTCACCGGATGCTTTGATATTTTGAGACGTCGGCACCTGGCACCACTACCTATATAACACACACAAAACCATCACCTGTATAACATACACAACACCATCACCTGTATAGCACACACAACACCATCGCCTGTATAACACACACAACACCATCACCTTTATAACACACACACACAACACCATCACCTTTATAACACACACACAACACCATCACTTTTATAACACACACACACAACACCATCACCTGTATAACACACACAACACCATCACCTGTATAACACACACAACACCATACCTGTATAACACACACAACACCATCACCTGTATAACACACACACACACCATCACCTGTATAACACACACAACACAACACTCACCTGTATAACACACACACATACCATCACCTGTATAACACACACAACACCATCACCATAACCACATCACCTGTATAACACACACAACACCATCACCTGTATAACACACACAACACCATCACCTGTATAACAAACAACACCATATAACACATGCAACACCATCACCTGTATAACACACAACACCACCACCAACACACTGTATAACATGTATAACACACACACACACAACACACACACATCACCTGTATAACACACACACACAACACCATCACCTGTATAACACACACAACACCATCACCTGTATAACAAACACAACACCATCACCTGAATAACACACACAACACCATCACCTGTATACACACACACAACACCATCACCTGTATAACACACACAACACCATCACCTGTATCACACAACACACCACCATAACACACACAACACCACCACCTGTATAACACACACACAACACCATCACATAACACACACACACACACACCATCACCTGTAACACACACACACAACACCATCACCTGTATAACACACACACACAACACCATACACACACACAACACACCATCACCTGTATAACACACACAACACCATCACCTGTATAACACACACAGACAACACACATCACCCATCACACAACACATCACCTGTACACTCACACACAACACCACCACCTGTATAACACACACACAACACCACCACCTGTATAACACACACAACACCACCAGCTGTATAACACACACAACACTATCACCTGTATAACACACACACAACACCATCACCTGTATAACACACACAACACCATCACCTGTATAACACACACAACACTATCACCTGTATAACACACACACAACACCATCACCTGTATAACACACACAACACCATCACCTGTATAACACACACAACACCATCAGCTGTATAACACACACAACACTATCACCTGTATAACACACACACAACACCATCACCTGTATAACACACACAACACCATCACCTGTATAACACACACAACACCATCAGCTGTGTATCGTGCTGGTCATTGCTCTAGCCGGTGATTGTGTGGTAGGACACAGGTTTTAACGCATTCAGCCAGGTTAGTCTCTTTTTCTCTCCCCCTCTCTCTCATTCCTTAATTTTCCAACGACATTTTATATAACTAAGATAAGTAAATGGGACCATGATAGTCAATAAAACTAAGAATGTACTTACTGCGGAAGGTATGTCCGTAGGTGTTGACACAACACTAACAACAAATAAACAAGACAGACAAAGACGCTGTGTTAGTCGGAAGGAAATCGTTGACGAAATGAAAACCTTTTTTTATTTTAAATTACACTGTACGGTATATTGGTGGTATATGCTTGATTACGATTAAGGCCACAATAAATCCAATCACATTTGTCCCTTTTTTTATTTTCCAAAGGAGAGAATAACCTAGAGGGATGAGTAATCAATACATTACGAAGAAAGGCTCTCGTTTTGTTGTTGTCGTTCCACATTCGATAATTAAGGTTGTACTAGGCTGTGACCCTCTGCTAATGTACAATCTAGGGTTTAGGTGGTTTGAATCGACATATTTTTCACAGTGTTTATATATCGATATTACTTATTATCGTGTTGAACCAATGGGATTTTGTATAAAGATTTTACTGAATAAAAATTGGCCTTCATTTAAATTGACGGATTTCATAACCTGCTATACATTGACCTCCAAGTTTAAAAGGTGGACTTAAAACTGAAAGACCAAAAACCTTGTCCCTGATAAAGTGTTGAAAGAAATTATTGAGTATCCTAATAATTTTTAAGTTCATCAAGTTGACGCAGTAAAAAAGACGGATAGAACAACACTCACTTACCACGCAAACATTCCAACACTAAAAAAATATTTATGAGAGTGAAAGTTTTGGTCTTCACGTAAAGCTTTAGGTGTAGTGCAATTTTCTAGTATGCCATTGTGTCCAGCAGTGGCACTTAAAAACATTAACATTCTTGGAAACTGAATAAATTTTGTTTTCCAAATTATATAATAATAATAATATTAATAATAATAATAATAATAATAAGAATAATAATAATAATAATAATAATAATAATAATAATAATAATAATTAACGGTTTATTGAAAGAGCATGGCAGCCGGAAGGCTAAAAATATACATTTACATAATTGGGGAATGGGTCTCTTGATTTACAAATAATATACAATTAACATAAGTGGTACAAATATGATATATAATAACAAGGTGGGGAGAAGCTCAAACTACAGGGCATTTCAACTTAGTGACAGTCCAAAAAGTAAGATTGACTGGGAGTGAATACACTGGTTTATTACAAGTTATTGATAATTTTTACAATGGTTGGGACTGGGCTGTTCTTATAGCGATCAGTTCGTGCTCATATGGGCTGGATGCGGTTGTGGTGTCAAACAGCAATTCTCTGAAGAGGGATCTCGGGTGGTAGTAGGAGCCGGTGTCGAGGATGGTGCAGAAGCTTCTCACCAAATTTGCAGATGAGGTCGTGGTGATGGTCAGTGAGAGCCGAGAGGGTCAGTGTGTTGAGCCCTTCTTGATAAGTGAGGTAGGAAGGGGAGAGAATAATCTTGCATGCCCTCTTTTGCACTTTTTCTAGGTGTTTACGTTGTGTGGCATTTAGGGAGGAAGACCAGGTAGGGGAGGCATAGGTGAGCTTGGGAAGTATGAATGTTGAGTAAACACTGAGGAGCTCGGGGGCAGGAACTTCGACGGGACTTGAGTCGGCGGAGGAGGTGGAGACGGAAACTGAAGGATTTGAAACTTCACTGACGTGTGATTTCCAAATAAGTTTGTTGTCTATGGCGACGCCGAGGAGCTTAGTGGAATCTACAACCTGGGGTGTGTTGGGACCTAAAGTAATGGAAGGGGGTGGGACAACGTCGGAGGGGAGGTTGATGAGCATAACCATGGTCTTGGTATGGTTGATGGTGACGTGGTTGTTGGTGGCCCATTTTGGAGACTGTTCAATAAATCCTGATGGGCGGTATAGTCGGGAGCAGAATTGTTGACACTGATCCCAATGGTGGAGTCGTCGACATATTTCCAGCAAGCAGAGGTTTCTCTTTGGGCATCACTGATAAGCATAAGGAAGCATAGTGGTCCCATCTTGGTGCCTTGTGGGACTCCACAGGTGAGTGACTGAAAGGTGGAGACAGCCCCTCGGAAGCGTACAGCTTGGTGTCGATTACTGAGGAAGTCTGTACGCCATGGTATAAGATTTCTTCGAAACCCGAGGTCGATAATTTTGTTGATGATTAAATTGTGGTCGACTAGGTCGAATGCCTTGGTGAAGTCAATGAAGGCGACAGCTACAGACGTTTTTCGTTTCTCCAGATGGCGGTATATGTAGTCGAGAAAACTGACAAGACAGTGAGTGGTGGAGGAAGTTCTCATATTACCAAATTGCTGAGGATCTACGGCGCCTGCAATATCAGCATAAGCCCAGTCAAACACAAAACTTTCATAGATTAAGGTGGGTATTGGGGTGATTGCAATGGGTCATAGCTGATTTAAGGATTGTGGGTTGGTTGACTTGGGCATTGGTGACACATATGAAGTCTTCCAGTCAGCTGGGCATCTGGCTTGACTGAGGGAAGCATTGATGATGGAGCAGAGGGGTTTAGCAAGCTCCGGGGAGAACTCCTTGGGGGTGGTGGAGCGTTTTAACTTCAGTTTGCCAAGACGTTTTACTACTTCAAATTCTTCTACCAATTCAGTGGGAAGGGGGGCTGGTAGGTAAGCATGAAAATTGGTTGTGTCAAGCCGGGGGAGCGTCTGGCAAAAAGTAGCGACATGGTTATTTGATTGCTCAGCTGCGTCAACATTAGTGAGATGGCTAAGGAAGAGGAGGGGTGTGTCTTATTGTTTAGTCCACAGAGTTCTTTAAGCTTACCATACCACTGACTGATGTTGGTCTGCTTCAGGTGCAGTGCGTATTTCGCGGATGCCTCGGTTGCGAAGGGACCTATAGCGGTTGTGGTCATTGAGATAAAAGGCTCTGTCTCTCTGTTGCATAAGTCTTTTGATCCGAGGTGTGATCCAGGGCAAATCAGCTGGGTGAGATCTGACTGACTTCTCGGGGAAGAAGTGGTGGTGAGCTTCCGTGGTGGTGTTGGTATATGTATGTGTGTATGTGTGTGTGTGTGTGTGTGTGTGTGTGTGTGTGTGTGTGTGTGTGTGTGTGTGTGTGTGTGTGTGTGATTGTATGTGCACACAGGGTGGTGTAATGCGTCTAGTGTAGCAGCATTATATTAGTGTTAAGGTGCAAGCACTGCTTGCTCCCTCTCGTTTTCAGCTGCCACCGCTACCTAGCCCTCGTGGTGAACAGGGAAGCAACTTGCACAGATCTTCCCCTGCCAGTACACAGCCTCTTCACCATCAAGACTCCTGCTGTGTCTCCTCGTGGCAGCACAAGGTAACTGGGTGCCTCGTTGGTCCAAACTAAACCAGTAGGGGATCTCGGAGCAGCAGAGGGTCCCAGAGGTACCGCACATAGGCCCACTGGCTTGTGGATTAACCTTGGTAGATATAAGGCTATGGGAGGAAACCCTGAACGAAAAATCTGCGGTGGAGCTCCACATCAGGCTAATCCCCGTAAAAAAAGAAAAAGAAAAAGAAGACCCCAACGGTGGTAAAGGTGGAAGAGGTGACCAACATGAGAACCCAACGACTACACCGGCGGATGAAGGCAATGCATGATGGACAAGCTACTAAGGGGAAACCCAACTAACTGGGCTATTAGTAGTCCATTCCAACTCTACCTCTCCCCAGTTGCTGCAACACTTGCACCACTGGATCAGGAAAAGGGAGAGCCAAGTTGTGTGGTAACTGCCTGTGCTCCTGCTCCTGACGAGGACAGGCAGAGATGAGTGCCGGACGTCTCTAGTCACAACTCTGAACATGGGCGGCATAGATAAGATGGTCATTTATGCACTTGGATTTATACAGCAGTGCAATCCGGTCCTGTCTATGCGACTGAGCAGCCCTCTCGAGGACCCACTCTGCTCACCCCACATGGGGAGGGGGCTAGGAAAGGTGTCCTAAACACAGTCTGCCTAAAAAACAAATCTGACTAGGCAACCGCACCAAGTAAGGTCATCCTTATGAGGTCGAAAAAAACAATCATAATCACAGATCAAAACAATAACAAACTATACAACCTGTATGGTTACTACATGGAATGTCAAGACCTTTCTGGATATTGGCACAAGTGAGCGTCCTGAAAAAAGGACCGTCCTTGTGGCAAAAGAGCTGGCTATGTATAACATCGACAAAGCAGCCATTAGTGAGTCCCTTCTCCCAAACGAGGGTTGACTCACAGAACGGGGTTCTGGTTATACCTTCTTTTGGAAGGGTATACCTGCTGCAGAAAAAAACGCATTTATGAAGTTGGCTTTGCCATCCGCTAACGCATCCTATATGTGCTAACTGAAATGCCTGTTGGGATCAACGAGTGCCCCATGATGCTCCGAGTCCCATTGAATCACTTATGTCATCAAAGAGGCCTTTTACGGTTGTGCTCCTAGGAGATTTTAATGCAAGAGGTGGCATAGATGCCGACATTTAACAGGGAATCATACCGAGAAATGACCTACGCAAGTCTAATCCCAATGGACTACTCCTCATCAGCATGTGTGCTGCACACAACCTCATTATCACCAATACTTTGTATAAGCAAGCCAAAAATTTCAAGGGTTTGTGGCAACACCCACGATCAAAACACCGGCATCTTATTGACTACATCATTGTCAGAGAAAGAGATCGCCGAGATGTCCTCATCACCTGAGCCATGCGTGGCTCAAACCACTGCGACACTGGTCATCGGATTGTCAGAGCCAAGCTCTCATTTCATGTCGCCCCAAAACGGCGAAGGCAACAAGCCTCCAGAAGAGGTGTTAACATTAAGCGTCTGGAGGATCCAGTGGTATATAACACATGCTTTCAGGAAGCAGCTTGAACATGGGCTGATAAACAACCAGACAACAAACAACCCAAATCTCAGTGACGAATAGGATATTCTCGACACTGTTATGATAAAAATATACAGAGAGACCTTCGGCTAGGTCGAACGAATACACCAGGACTGGTATGATGAAAATGTCCCCGAAACCAATGTACTCGTCAATGATTAACGTGCTGCTTTAACTGACTGGCAGAACAACCCTCAGTCTCTAACCAAAGCTGATACCTTCAGCAAGAAGAAAGAGGAGGCCCAGCACGAACTTTGCAATCTAAAGAAAGACTGGTTTAAAAATAAAGCATGTGAAACGCCAAAATTTGGAGATCAACACAAGATGCATGAATTTTTCAATTCCATTAAATCATTTTATGGGCCAATCACTCATGGCTCAGCCCCTCTCCACTCATTCTATGGTAACTCCCTAATTAAAGACGAAGAAGGCATCCTTCAGGGCTAGAAAGTGCACTCCCGTTTGCTGCTCAACCGAAACACCGATGTGGATGTCCAAACTACCCAGCAGGTCCCTAAGCATCCAGAGCTGACCCACCTCAGCTACCCTCCTTGCATCCATACTTAACAGTCCCGTTTACACCCAACCCCTATCGCTCATATATCCGTCCAACCTATATTTGAAGCTACCCAGCGTGTTCAAGTTAATGATGATATTTGGTAACTTGTTCCACTCATCTGCTACTCTATTTCCAAACCAGCGTTTACCTATCTCGCTCGAAAATTTAAATCTGTCAAATTTAAAAGCATTGCTACGAGCTCGTTTCTGGTTGGATAGTTTGAGTACCTTTGTTATATCACCTTTGTTTAACCCTGACTTCTATTTATACACCTCAATCATATTGCCCTTCACTATACGTCTCTCGAGGGAGTGCAAATTCAGATGCTTTAATAATTATGGTTCTATACTAGAGGTTCCTAATGCCGGGATTAGTCTTGTCATCCTCCTCTGTAGGCTTTCTCGTTATTCGATATCCATTCTTTCGTACGGTGACAAGAACTGAACCGCATAATCCAAGTGAGGTCTAACAAGTGCAAAATTTACTTTTAGGATAACCTTGTAACTAACACTCCTTTTTATGAACCCAAACAAATACGCATTGCTGTCTTGGTTTCTGATTCCTACTTTTCATTACCCCTAAATCTTTCTCCCAGTCGGATTTCTCTATTTCAACGTTGTTCATCTGATATCTGGTTTCTCTGTTTACATCTCCTAGGCTAAGTACTTTATATTTGTCCACATTAAGTTTCACCGGCCATTTTTCAGACCATGCGAAACATTTGTGTCGTCAGCTAATTTACTTACGTTGCTGTCTACGACTATATCTATGTCTTTATGTATATAATAAATAGTAATGGTTTCAATTTCATATTCTTTCCCTATCCCGTTTTGAGATTATCTAAATTTCATTTGATTTTGTCCATAGTTTTCTTTTTAATTTTGAAGTTTTAGCCGCACTAAACTCATTACTGCAGGGTTAATGAATTTCTGAATCTTTCCTAAATTAAAATGTAATCTATTCAATTCCTGCCTATGCTTTTTACATTGTCCTTGGGTGAGACCCATGTAATTACATGTATTTACAATTATCATTATATTTTCCTTACATAAGGCAATTAATATGTCTCCTCTCTCATTTCAATTACCCAAACCCCGTGGTGGTACTTCTGGTGCTACTTTCCCTTTCCCAACTTTTCCGTTAAAATTACCCATTATAATCAGACATTCATTAAACTTTGCGGTGGATTTTCCTTTCTTTAAATATCAATAAAAGTTTTCTAAGACATCATCATCACTATCAATAGTTGGTGAATACGTAGTGATGATTTCTATATACAGTACAGTATACAGTATATTTTTTCTTCATAAAATCAAACCCATCTGTACATAGGGATGATCATGTATATAATCATAATAATAACTATAAACATATGGCATAAGTACTAACCTAACCTAACTTACCCTGAACAAACCGAATCTAAGTATAGAATGGTTATGTTATCATAGTAAACGACGTTTTAAGTTAAACTTACCAAATTTTGCAATATATCAATTAAGCTCCATCAAATTAATTCAAAATAGAAATATCCCTACTTGGAAAATTTATTGATATAATTGTGATTGTAAGACTAAATCGAACGATGTTATCTACAGACATGTGAACATTGTCGTGTTTCCTTTACTACCACACTACCATAATTAAAGTCTACTTAGACTTTTGACATATATTTTTATAGCAGAAGAAATAAAACTTCTAGTTGAGAATCAAAGACATAATACAAAAGAGCACCAGTTTCATAATACATAAAGAAATAATATATGTGATATGAAATTCTCAGTAGTTTAGGTATAACCCCTACATATACTGGTGCCCATTCTCCGCCCGCTTCATAACAATCTTTTACCTATGTTACCCATCTTCGGTCACTAATCCATTCTCCATGGACTTAATTCTCTATGTTTATAATCTGGGATCGTTTGTACTCAGATAACATCATCGGAGTACGTCAGCTTCTTTCTATATCCATGAGTCTTAAAATACATCACCGGATGCCTATGGAGAGATCTCGAGAAGTCTCCCCAGAACAAACTTAGGTGATAATCTTTCTTCCCTTTCTCTTCGTCGCAATGTTACTTTACTCTCTCTCTTTTACAGGTAATTTAACGGGCAATGTTCGGTGGATTTGGCATCCTGTGTACCGCCGGCAAGACCGTGGGCTCGTAACACTCGTCTTGTCCGCGATGCCCACCGTTTCTCTGTGGATGTTGGTCACACGAGAATAACCCGTGAAAGTACATCCTTTTTTTCCTCACACAGCCAAAGTGTGGAATGCTCTGCCTTCTTCTGTGTTTCCATACTCATACAATCTGTCTCACTTCAAAAAGTTGTTTTTTCCGCATCTTCGTGGTGTAGATTAATATAATCTTTTTCTTTTCTATTTATAATTTATTTTTACTCTTATTTTTTCTCCCCTTAGGCCCCATTGTGGGTCGATGACGTGTGCCCGGGTAGGTTATTCCCCGTAAAAAAAAAATCACAAGTGTTAGATGTAAAGTTGTATATTACAGATGAACGCAAAGAAATATGAACTAATCTAACATTTCTTACATCACCCCTCTTGACTAACGATCTAAACTATGTCCCTCAGATGAGAGCGATGACCCCACAGAAATCCCGGGGCATATTCGGAGAGGGGGCTGCTGCAGAGACTGAAGGAGGCCAGGCTGGAGGTGCAAGCGGCCTCAAAGTGGAAGGTGGAGGCCTACCAGAACCTGTGGAGGTGAGCAGCGTTTCCTACCTCTCTGTGCCCGACACTCAGTCCACTCGGAGACCCTCCACGGCAGACTTTGTCATAGAAAAGCTACAGGCAGGTGTCCGTGCGTTTGTTGACTTGTGTATTTTTGTATAGATGAATGTACTTCTGTATTTCGCTCTTACAATACTATAAGATGTCTTTGTACTGTATGTGTAAGAAAAGTTGAGGTATCCCCTTTATTACAAAACATTACTAGCTTGAAGAGTCTTATAGCGTCTATGAATAACAGTATAATTTAAATACGTGATGTAAAAACTCCAATAACTAGGTAACTGCTTAGGTCTAAAGAACTGAATTTCAAGGAGTGCTTGTTGTACAGGTGTAAACAAAGAGAAGATTGTTACTCTTAGAAAGTTTGTTTGTATAATGTACTATTGAGAAGGTGGACGCGAGAGTGAGACTGTAGAGTTTACAAGAAGATCACATTTGATGCAGGTGGAGAAGGTGGAGGGCGGGGGGCTGAGCATCCAGGGGGTGGCCCTCGCCTCCAATTGTCACGTCACCCTGTGTGTGTTCGGGGTGTTCTTCATGGTGGCCGGCATCATCCTCTCCTACGTCAGCTATAGCGTCGCTATGAGGGTAAGTCACTAAGATAAACAGTGTTATTGTTTTACTAAAGTGCACCCAAATAAAAATGTAAACATCCTCATCAGGTCACCAAGTAGCCACAGAAGCGCAATCAAATTCTACTATAATATGCGAACTACCGGGATATTTACATAGATTGTTTGTAGGCAAATAAAATGTTCGCAGTGGGACATTTTGAGATTAAATGAAATAAGATGGACAGGTTAAAATAGCATTAAAGGTGGAGACTCTTACCTCATACCTCATATATTCAGGTGGCGGAAAACATCAACAGAGGTGTTGGTATTCTTGTTAACCAGAAGTTGAGTAGTAATAGTGCAAAGGGATATTGGGCGGTGTCAGATAGAGTTTTGTTAGTCAAGTTTAATAATACAGGTTTATGCACCGACTAATGATAGTGAGGATGAAGTCTTAAAAAAAAATGGATATTTAAAGAAAGGAAAACACACCGTAAAGTATAATGAATGTCTGATGATGATGGGTAATTTTAACGGAAAAGTTGGGAAAGGGAAAGTAGCACCAGAAGTAGGACCATATGGGTTGGGTAATAGAAATGAGAGAGGAGACAAATTAATTTAATTTTGCAAAGAAAATAAAAGGATAATTTCAAATACTATACATAGTTTGAACAACACTCATGCATCTCTATATATGGATCTTACCCCAGGAATATGTGATTTATTTGATTCCTCACTATGTTTTGTGAGGAATCAAATTTTAATTCAGTATATATATATATATATATATATATATATATATATATATATATATATATATATATATATATATATATATATATATATATATATATATATATATATATATATATATATATATATATATATATATATATATATATATATATATATATATATATATATATATATATATATATATATATATATATATATATATATATATATATATATATATATATATATACATGGGGACTACCCATATCACGTAGGTGGTCAGAGCAACGTTTTACCAAATCCGGCTTCGAAACATGAGGGCCGTGGGTTCGAATCCTGGTGGGTTGAGGTGTTGATTGTATGTAGAAGTCCGCATGTTCATTGGGCTAATGAAATATATATGGATCCTCGTGTTTCGAAGCCGGATTTGGTAAAACGTTACTCTGACCACCTACGTGATACGGGTAGTCCCCATTAGAGGCTCACGGCGCCATAAGCTTGTTGAACAGGCTTTATGTGAAATATAACAGAGTCTAGGACTGCTTTTAGTATCCTGGTGGTCCAGCGGTTAGCGTTCCCCGGTCACAGTCATGGGCTCGTGGGCCGTGGGTTCGAATCCTGGCGGGTTGAGGTGTAGAAGTCCGTGTGTTTATTGGGCTAATGATATATATATATATATATATATATATATATATATATATATATATATATATATATATATATATAGAGAGAGAGAGAGAGAGAGAGAGAATTTGCTCGTGTAGTTCATTTATTTGATCAGGGGCACCAAAGCAAAGGGATATTTATCACCTATTGTAGTAGAGCATCCCATATTTCAGACGGGAGGTGACAGCGGGGGCGGAGAAGGGAAAGAGAAAGCAGAGGCGATGAAGGGGCAATCTGACGAAGTGTCGAGTGTCTCCCAGATGAGGATGATCGGCCCCGCCTTCCTAGTGTTGGGTTTCCTCATGCTCTTCTTGGGCATCACTCTCTTCGCTCTGGCCAAGAAGGTACAATTCTTTGACTCTAGAACTATCCTTATCTCTTGCACTAACACTGTCTCTGTAACTAGCTTTATCAGTGACTTTCTTTGACTCTAGAATTATCTATCTCTTTATTAATAATAATAATAATAATAATGATAATAATAATAATATTGTTATTATTATTATTATTATTAAATGCATTATGGCTAAATTGTCATGATCATTTTCCCAGATTAGTCACGATGAGAAGGTCAGACAGAGGGTGTTGGCTGACCAACAGCTGTGGCAACTAGAGAACAGCTTCAGTTACGCCAACGCCTCAACCTCCCCACTCCACACAGCTGCTCCCGCTCCCCACCAGGTGAGTCCTCCTCCACATAGCTGTTCCCGCTCCCCACCAGGTGAGCCCTGCTCCACATAGCTGTTCCAGCTCCCCATCAGGTGAGTCCTCCTCCACATAGCTGTTCCCGCCCCCACCAGGTGAGTCCTCCTCCACATAGCTGTTCCCGCCCCCACCAGGTGAGTCCTCCTCCACATAGCTGTTCCCGCCCCTGTAGGGGCTCACTGCGCCATGTAGGGGTTCTAGGTACTCAGTTCTAACTACAGGGGCGAACACAAACACCTGTAGAGTATTGTAGGTTCTATTGGACGGAAGTATACATGGGTGTGCTTACAAGCGCCGGTAGTCCCTACACTCTTTATGGGTCAACTGACCTCTCCCTGACTTCTCAGGCGACATGTAGCAAGTGGTACATTAGCAGCTTCCAGATGTCGCCAGGCACATTATCTAAGCGTGTGGTGACATGAAACAGGGGTATTGCCATACGCTACTGACTAGATTGGTAATGTATATAAATGGGGTACATACATAGTATACATACAACATACATAATATACATACACCTCTATACGCTCATAGCAAAGTCTTGAGCGGACCTTTTCTTTTGGATCCCTTCTGAGCGTCGAGGGGTTTGATCATTGGGGGGGATATGGGACTCAGCACTGGTGGCAGGGTCAGCGGAAGGTGTTACGGGGTGGAGAAAACGGCGGTTCCTCCATCACACACGACCACTGGGTAACCGCACCTGGTAGTCCCATGACCTACCGAGACCCATGACTACACCCACTTTGTCCCAATGTAGGGAGGTCGGGTCCTGAACACGGACTTGGGTGCAGACACTCAACCTGGGGAGAGAACGGGCGTGGTAGTTGTAGCGAGCGACGACGTATTCAACACGTTCGGCGGCTCGGCGATCACAATCCTCTGTCTTGGCCTGCCACTCCATGGAGAAGGACTGAGGGTGAGCGGGGACACAAGAACGGAGGGGGCGTCCGTACAGGACCTGGGCAAGGGAGTGTCCGGTGTAATTGGGTGTGTTGCGGAGTTCAAGGAGACCCCGGTCGAAGGCCTCGCAGTCAATATTCCCAGAAGGGGCCACTTTGAGGATGAGGTGCTTCAGGGATTTGACAGCAGCCTCAGCGTGGCCATTGGACTGTGGGTAATGGGGCGATGACAACACATGCCGGACTCCCCATCGGTCGAGGAACGCAGCAAAGTCCCGGCTTGTGAACTGGGGCACTCTGTCGGTTCGCAGGCGCACAGGAACGCCCACGTCACGGAAGTACTGGCGGAACTTGCTGATGGTGGGGGTAGACGTCGTATCATTACCGCACTTGATGACAACCGGCCAACCAGAGACACGGTCGACGACAACCAGGAAGGACTTTCCTGACACACAGAAAAAGTCGGCCGACACAGACTCAAAGGGGCGGGTGGGGTTGTCGTCACTCATGAAGGGTTCCTGCTGCTGGCTGGGTTGTAGTATTTGGCAGGGCTTACACGCATGGACAGCATTGGAGATGTCGGAGTCGATGCCAGGCCAGAATGCAGTCTGTCTTGCACGCTTTTTGGCGGCCTCGGCTCCACGGTAACTGTCATGGAGGCGGGCCAAGACGTGGGGACGTGAAGCAGCAGGGACAACTACCGAAGGAGAGGTGTCACTGGCCAGAGGTAGGGGTAGGGCGACAGCAGGGTAGTTGCTGCTTCCTTTGTGCACCCTGTTGGCGTATTTTACCTCGAGAATCGGTTTTGGGAAGTCCTGGGAGATGATGGCCAACTCTTGGCAATGTCTGTAGGACAGCAAAGGAGTCGGGACACCATTATGCACATCAATCCAGGCTTGACACGACCTGTTGCCAAAGGTGACATGTGCATAGAGTGAACCTAGGGCTGGGGCCATCTGTGAACCATCTGCCGTGAAGCGGAGATCCTTGGGAGGCGGTCCTAGATCATTTGGAGAAAGCCCCAAACATTGCAAATGCTGGGGGTCGATGACTGTAGCATCAGCGCCGGTGTCAGGCAGCATCTCGAGACAGGATGACACACTGCCGTAGGTCACGATGACGCTGATGTGCTGGGGAACTTTGGTCCTGGGACGCGAGGGGGAGTACACCTTCCTAATATGGCTTGAGCGTTGCCCAGGGTCGTCATGCCTCTGATTTGACGACTGTGGGCGGCCCTCACCAGTGGAAGGGCGCTGCTGCTTCCGCCGACGCTGTCCCTTGGGTTTAATGGTCGGGCAACACTTGTCGTAGTGGCCCAGACGACCACACACATTGCACTGGACGCGTTTGGCTGGGCACCGTACTGTAAGTGACCAGTGGCCCTTGCGGTCACAACTGTTGCAGGTAGACTCAGCAGCTGGACACACCTGTGTTCCGTGCTGCCAACCACAGCTGTTGCAAAGGGAGCCGGGCGTGGGCGTGGTGGGCGTAGGCGTTGGGGTAGACTTCTTGTATTTGGACATGGCCCGTACAGCTGTAGGGGGAGCTCGTATGGCAGAGGTGGCACACCTGGCAGCCTCATACGAGCGACATATTATCAACACATCTTTAAGGGAAAAGGAAGAGTCGAGGGAGGTGAGGCGTTGGACAAGCTCCTCGTCCTTAACACCCATCAGGATCATCTGCCTCAACTGGGTCTCCTCGCACTGCTGGTGATTACCGGGACATATGTCTACCTCTTCCAAGGCTCTCTTGAGTCGTACATAGAAGTCGTCAAAAGTCTCGCCCTCCATCTGTCTACAGCTAAACAATTCCCTCCTGCGTAGAACTTCATTCCGCTGACCTTTGATGTGCCGTTCTAGAACATCCAGTACTTCCTCTACAGAGAACGAAGAAGTCGGGGGCACCTGCAACATATGTTCCAACACACGCTGTATTTCCAAAGATAGGCACATACACAGCTGAATGAGTTGTTTATGCTGTGGCAAGCTCTGGAGATCCACCATTGTAGCATAATCAATGCACCGTCGCCGTCACTCACGAAAAGTCTGAAAAGTCTCATCAGGCTTCAAGATGGGTGGGGTTTGGGCAGCCGCTCTGGGGGGGGGGGGGGTTGTTGGCGTACAGAAGGCGTTGACGAGGTATCTGAGCCAGTAGATACCGAATCAGTGGGAGAGCCAAGGGCTTGGTTAGCAGTGAGGCTAGATATCAAAGCTGCAAACCGTTTGCTATCTTCCAATCTCCTTTGGTGGTCTCTGTTTGCCTCCTCTTGTCTCCTTTCTTCGTCCTGAACACGTCTTCTCGCTTCGTCCTCACGCCTTTCCTCCCTCATAAACTTCATCAGAGCAATTATCTCTGAAGACAAGGCTGAAGGTCGAGGTGAAGGGCTGCGAGATGTGGTGGGAGAGGGTGGAGCGTCGCTCTCTGACTGGTCATCCATCTCTGTAGAGCTGTCATCCGTCTGAGGCGGGTGTCAACTGCACCACTAAGTAAGGAACGAGGCATAATTACTTTATCTGTATATTGTGTCTCAAATCAGTGTTGACCGGTCAGTCCGTCGTATCAACAAGATCTGAAACAAAAAATTAATTGAATACACAGATAAGTAAATTATATATATATAAAATATATATAAAGGAATGACTGCAGTCGGTGTGTTCGTGCGTGTGTACCCGTGGGTTGGTGTGTGTAGGCGGGCGGTAGGAGCGCGGAGGGAGGCGGGGGGGGTGGTAAGCTGAAGGTCGAGACTCCAGCTAATCAGTTACCCTTGAGACGCAGCTGGAGAAGGTCCACACTGACGCCGCTCTTCACAAATGCCCTTAACCAGCCTTCCACCCCTTGGGGAATCCTTTAGAACAAGGTCACACTTTAGCACTACACACACGAGGGGCACTTATAGCACTTCACAGGACTTGCTGTAACTGAAACACTGCTGAAAACTCGTTGGTAATTCAAAGGAATTTTTGTGGGAGACAATGCGATTAGGAGAGCAAAGGTTGATGGATTATGAAGCGTGGGATCTACCTGTCTTAACTATACAAAACAGCACTTATATTTCCAATCAATCAAATCACTGCGCCACGGAGGGGCTCACTGCCCCATGTAGGGGTTCTGGTTACTCAGTTCTATCTACAGGGGCGAACACAAACACCTGTAGAGTATTGTAGGTTCTATTTGACGGAAGTATACAAGGGTGTGCTTACAAGCGCCGGTAGTCCCTACACTCTTTATGGGTCAACTGACCTCTCCCTGTCCTCTCAGGCGACATGTGGCAAGTGGTACATTAGCAGCTTCCAGATGTCGCCAGGCACATTATCTAAGCGTGTGGTGACATGAAACAGGGGCATTGCCACACGCTACTGACTAGATAGGTAATGTATATAAATGGGGTACATACATAGTATGCATACAACATACAGCCCCCACCAGGTTAGTCCTCCTCCACATAGCTGTTCCCACCCCCACCAGGTGAGTCCTCCTCCACATAGCTGTTCCCGCCCCCACCAGGTGAGTCCTCTCTCCACACAATTGTTCTCACCCCCCACCAAGTGAGTCTTCTTCCTTTATTAATTTTTCCTTTTTGGTTTTAACACGGTTCGGCTCGTGACGTCCTGAGCAGAATAATTCCGCTTCTGTATCATCTTCTCTATTACAATTATCAATTACTCAGATTATTCTCTCTGTTTATTGTATTTTTTCTTGCTTCTGCTACGATGCCCGCATAGACGCCTTTAGATAAGAACTGGTATCGGCCTTAATTGGGTTCCCGGTACTTGAGTCCACAGATTTATGTCTTAATTCAGTTGAACTTACTTTACTTACTTTTATCCTCTTCACCACTGATCGGCTCGTTAGCCGCTTGGGCGATCGGTCACGTCTCTGTTACGCACTGTTGGCAAGTACCGGGCATGCACCGGCTCCTGAATGTACCTGAACCTGCTCCAGTGTTGGTCACCTCTGGTCCTGAAAGAGCTCACACTAGGTGCCGTCACAACACTTTCTGGTAGATTGTTCCAAGAGTTCACAACTCTTAATCCAAAAATGTTTGCCCTCACAGTTTTCTGGACCTGCGGCTACTTCAATCTTGAGCTGTGACCCCTTGTGGGGCGAGCGTCCGCCAGCTCCAAGTAAGGACACTCGACTGAGTAGTGCTCCTTGAGATGCTTATACACCTCAATTAGGTCGCCCCATGCCCGTCTGTAGTATAAGCTAGGCAAGTTCAGGCGCTCCAATCTCTCAGGGTAGTTGAGGTGCCGAAGTGCAGGCACCAGTCTGGTGGCCATCCTTTGAACATTTTCAACCAACTGACAGTCCTTAGCATATCTCGGGGACCGGATGGGGTGAAAGTACGCAGCAGCCATTTCTTCGACCATTCTTGGAGCTCACAGAGATCCTTCTGCAGCTCTTTTTTTTTTTTTTTTAGTTTCTTATCTCTTATTAACTTGTTAAAAACATAATAAAGGAAGATAAAGCATTAATTTTGTTGACTGACCTCTATGGGTCTCTTTAATGAATGAAAATAGTAAAAAAATATGTATTTATAATGAAACATATTTTATACAATTGTTATACACAAAGAAAATAAGGTTTTACAATCCACACATCCTTATAGCCTATGATTGACACAAGGTAAGTTTAAGGCAATAATATAAAGAAACGTCCTTTACAAATGATATTTAGTATATAATCACTTCAAGTAACTACGACAATATATTTTCGAGTCTTGAAGACACACTTGAAGAGTAACTGTACTATATGTACAAAAAAAAGACAGTTCCGGTAACCAGTTCTGTCATACTCAGACCACCTCTATCGAGCTCAGTCACAAACTCTGATGACAAACATTCCTCAGAATCCACTTCTGGCTGTCCATGATTATAAACTAGAAATCCTGCAATGTATACGATTTTTTTTTAACCTATCATCCGCATTTAGAAGGAGCTGAGTGTCATGTAATGTTAGCTCTTCCAGTAGTTGTACATCACTGTCATCTATTGCTGTTGTACGAAATTCACAGCTTACGTCATACAGGTATGTACTCTCAGGAACAATGTCATGTTTAAACAGGTAATGCAACTGCTGTACTTTGGCTGGTACTTGAACATTCCAAATATCAATGTAGAAATTTCCTACACTGTAACAGTCATGAATAAGGAGAGCCTGTGAGACGTGATGTCATGGTGATGTGGCGCCTTGTAGGCCGTCTTTCTTTTCAAACAGAGTCTGGTTAGAATTGGTTCAGTGTAGACGTATGTCTGGTCGGCCAGTTTTCTTTAGTATGGATATATATATATATATATATATATATATATATATATATATATATATATATATATATATATATATATATATATATATATGTATATATATATATGTGTGTGTGTGTGTGTGTGTGTGTGTGTGTGTGTGTGTGTGTGTGTATCAGTGAGTAGCCTACACGTAAGGTTTTATCCATTTCACGAAATGTAGTGTGATTCATGTGACCCCTGTTTAACTAGCTAGGAAAATAGGGTTATTGTTTTGAAGTATAATTGTCGATTTTAACAGAAGGTGTTCAATAAACAAAGAACCGCTAAGAAGTTTTATAAATCCCCCCTCTTGGTGTTGAGTAAAACATTGTCATACAGGGCTTTGGTGTTATGGGGTGATACATTGAGTCCTGAGTGACAACACACGTATCACCTGTTTCCCCTAGTGTCTCAGTTATCGTGTGTTATCCCTGATCCACAGTTATCCCCCTCTCCCTCTCCCTTTATTCTCCCCTCATATCGGTTACCTTCTACTGGGGGGAGTGACCACAGGCAAACCCCCACCTTTTTCACCCACAAATCAGCCGTTACCTCCTCTCCCTTCTCCCCTAGCTTCATCCATCTCACGAGTATACAAAGAAAATAAAGAGGAAAATGAAGAATTAAGAACTAAGAAGAACAAAATAAGGAAAATAAAAGGTACTGTTACACCACTGCGTTGTCTTCCTTGTCCCCCCAAAATTTCAAGGAGATCTTGCGACAAAACAGCAGTCAGGATGTAAGTAAAGCCATGGTTTTCAAAAGGATGTTGTGCTGCTTCTATATTATACCTTGTTGTGGTAACAAAAACATCTGCCATTGATTGTGTTCGTTTTTTTTTGGGGGGGGGGGGACCATGTCCACCAATTCACCGATAGCTGAATAACCTTACACATTTCCTGCAGCTCTCTGAAGTTTTCACAATTTAATGTCCAAGGTTCACGATATTGATCTCGTAACTGAATTTAGCTGTATTTACTTTCAACATTCATCATTTTGAACCAATTTGTTACCAGTGTGATGTATTTCACTGTTCCATCCTGATAATCAACAGTGCCTTTCCGAGCTTTAAATGTAGCATTTGTTTTTTCATTGAACACTTGATAAACTAAGGGCACACGTTGATGCTGCAAAGTTTTAGGAAAGACTGATGAGAGTGTGAATTTTGTGAGACGAGGGGGTGTTTTCTGATCTTTGTTGTAAAGAGCTTTAACACCACTCCAACTCGCCAAATATTCTGTACCATCCTCAGTGAAATGTAATTGTTGGCATTTCTCTGTGACCCAGTTGTTTCCCATTTTTTTTAGGTTGTGAACATAATCAGACACAAGGAACACACCTATACCATCCGGTGCTAGTGTTACCAAGCTGTGTATGTGTACAGCTTGATTCATTGGACAGTTGTCACACACAAACGATACCGGATGCCCACCACTAGCTTTAATTTACAACATAAATAGCTTCATGTAACATTTTCTTCAGCTAAATCGCTTTCAACCCAGATACAGGATGGATTCGTATGATGAATCGTGGCCCTCCATAATGACAAACAACTTCAATAACAAGAGCTGATGTTGCTAGATTTACTGGTTTGTTTAATGCATGGCCAACTATATGATCCCCTGTAAATCCAAGGGCCTGCTGAAGCTTAACGTTCCTCGCGTGGGCGGGAGATGTCGTTTATGGCGATATAGTGGGGTTATGGGTGATTGTGTGGAAAGGTAGGGATATTTGTATGTGAATCTGTCTGTAGGTGTGGGTGTTTGTGTGTAAGTGCGTCTGAGAGACAATTGCTTTCCTGATGATGCATTTAAGCAATGGACCCAAGTTTCAAACCCCGAGAGTGCTCGTTTCCAGTCCTTATTTAAAGGCGACTATGATTGCCTGTCTTTCATCTTAACTACGTTTTCTGTTTGTTGTGTGGGTTTTCTCTCCCGATTGAATTCCCTCCAGAAAACCTTCTTGTTCTTTTTAAAACTTTGTGGCAACCTTTTACCTGATCTTTCATTTGCCCCTTGCATCCTCTCATCACCCTGTGCCTCTCTCTGCTTTCTTACTTCTGGATCTCATTTGTCATTTTCTTCTCCTTAATGATTACTGACAACTTTTGCTGTTCCTTCCTCTTTCCTTTTACCCACAAACTACACTGCGCATTCTAAGGTTGCACTTCTCTTGCAATTTTCCCATTTGTTCCGTTCCAGCAATATCCGATCCTGGCGGTGCGTCGCAGCTCTTGGTGGATGGACCCGGCTGTGATGGAGGGTGGCGGCACTAACGTTTATGGTGAGCCGGCCACTGCCCTCAATGATTGTGACACAGCCGTGCCGTGTCCCTCCCCTCATAGGTAAGTTAAGTCCTATTAATGTTCTTGTCCACTCGTGTAAATCACAAATCATTGCGTATATGTGGACAAGATTTTAGTACTGTAAGTAAGAACTGTGGTTTAGTATAAATTAAATCTTCCCTGTGAATGTATGTCTCTCTCTTATCCTCTGTCACAATTCATAAAAATTACCAAGTGCTGGTTTAAGAAAGATTCTTGTTGTATCGGCAGCTAACACCATCATCGCCAATAAATATGGAAATATGTTTCATAGTAGCATCGCCAACGCCAAACCAAAAACAAATTTCCTTTACAAGAATAATGCAAAATTATGTAAAGAGTAACCACTGAATATTGATTTATGTTAAGTCACAGAACAGGTATCCCTACATACAGTACATATCTACTAAAATTTAAAAAAAATATGTTTTAAGTTAAAAAAAAGAAGTAAGGCCAATGAATATTACAGTACATAAAACATTGTAATTTGCTTAGAATTTTCTTCAAAACTCAACTTGGATTGTACATAGGGAGAGTCAGGGAGGATCGTCCCCTCGTGTGCTGAGTCCAGTACCCCTGGAACTGCTGCCAGACGCCTCAGATTCCTACAAGGACATAGCCTGCTTCCCTCCTCCCCGCTCCACGTTTGTATTATTATTATCATTATTATTATTATTATAAGTAGTAGTAGTAGTAGTAGTAGTAGTAGTAGGGTAAGGGCATATGGGGAGAGAATTCAAAACGTTGATCAAGGCAGCTTCACTCCTCTAGTGTTCACAACCTCTGGTGGGATGGGACCAAGTGCAAGATGTTTCTACGCCAGACTCGCGGAGGTGATCTTTTACTTTTATCCTCTTCGCCACTGATCGGCTTGTTAGCCGCTTGGGCGATCGGTCACGTCTCTTTTCATTTATATTCTTCACCAAAAGATCGGCTCGCTAGCCGCCCGGGCGATCGGTCACGTCTCTGTAACGCACTGTTGGCAAATACTGGGCATGCACCGGCTCCTGAATGTACCTGAACCCGCTCCAGTGTTGGTCAAGTCTTCTCTTGAAAGAGCTCACACTCGGTGCCGTCACAACACTCTCTGGTAGATTGTTCCAAGAGTTTACAACCCTCACTCCGAAAAAGTTTGCCCTCACGGTTTTCTGGACTTGCGGCTTCTTCAATCTTGAGCTGTGACCCCTTGTGGGGCGAGCGTCCGCCAGCTCCAAGTAAGGACACTCAACTGAGTAGTGCCCCCTGAGATGCTTATAAACCTCAACTAGGTCCCCCCTTGCCCGTCTGTAGTATAAGCTAGGCAAGTTCAGGCGCTCCAATCTCTCAGGGTAGCTGAGGTGCCGAAGTGCAGGCACCAGTTTGGTGGCCCTCCTTTGAACATTTTCAACCAACTGACAGTCCCTAGCATATCTCGGGGACCAGATGGGGTGACAGTACTCCAGATGGGGAAGCACTTCACTCCTGAAGATCGTCACGAGGGACGGACCGTCTAGATATCTGAACGACCTTCTTATAAGACCCAATAATTTATTTGCCTGATTTACCTTCTTCTCACAATCTCCGAACAGAAGCAGCAGCCCAGAAGTTATGTTACAGCCTGGATGAGATGTCGACTGTCTTTCTCTCTCCTTCGGTCGGCTTTGCTCTGCCTCAGAGGAACGAGAGCTTCGTCCCCAGTGCCGACAACTGCTGCTGATATTGACTATGAGGCTACAGTCACTGAATGCCGCATAGATCTGCGGCTCAACTAATTCAATACAGATAGGATAGCTTCTTACGTATTAGGATATTTAATATTAAGGTAATAAAATGGCGGCGAAGGTGTGGCTATTGGGGGAGGCTGGAGGCCACGCTGCAAAAAAAAAGTAATAGTAGTAGTAGTAGTAGTAATAGTAGCAGTAGTAGTAGCATGTCGAGGGACGATGCAGTGAAATGGGTCAAAGAAGTGCACTCAGAAGTGGTCAGGTGGTCGCCAGCTAACCTCTTTGAACCACCCAAGTGCGCGGCCTCCAAAGGAATGATCCGGGAGATGACTTGCCTCATATTCAATTACAATCATGACAGCCCCTAGCCCCATTAGCTCTTCACATACTGGCCATAATACCCCATCTATTCTGTCAGAGGACACACACAAGATCTAAGTGCAAAGAAACGTGGCAGCAATTAAAAGGAGATTGACAATGTGGCAGAAAGGGGCCCTTGATGATCTCCTATGAGAAGCAAGAACACTGCAGGAGAATCTAAAATTCATAGGAGACGGAAAGCAATACACCGAGGATGTTACCAGAAAATTTGGTAACAAAATGCGAGAGGGAAAGTGTCCTTGGCGGTAAGATCTCTCACAGAGGAATTTCAGGTGGTGTTCTGCCAATAAACAGAGAGACATTAAAACAACTGAAAGAAAAACATCCCCCTGCAAGTGAACAGGAAGGCATCAGGTTCCAGGGTGCCTATATCCCTCCTAATGCTGTCATGTTCGAGAAAATAACAGGAGGGATGGAGTGGTAAAAAGCACTGAAAACTCAGGGAGGGACAGGCCCTTCAGGCCTGGATGCAAACGATTGGAGAGTCATCCTCAGCACTAACAAGTTTGGTGGCATAGCAAGTGATCTCTGCAATACCATCGCCGTCCTTGCAAGAAAGCTAGCAACCTCGTGCTGCCATCACCTCCATGCTCTGACGGCCTGCCGGCTCATTCCCCTGGATAAAAATCCAGGATGTAGGCCTATAGGAGTGGGGGAAGTGCTGAAGCGGATCATTGGAAAATGCATAATGGAGGTGGTAAATGATGATGTCAGGGCAGCTGCAGGGAACCTGCAAGTATGTGCTGGCCATCAGGCTGGAGGGGAAGCTGCCATTCACGCCATGAGAAAGGTATTTGAGCAGCGTGATTGTGAGGCAGTACTTCTGGTCGACGCTTCCAACGCATTCAACATACTCAACCGCAAGGCTACACTGCACAACATCAAGATCAAGTGTCCAAGCTTTGCAATGTGTGTTGAAAACACCTATAGGAACCCATCAGACCTCTTTATAACAAGCTTCAAGGCCCTAAGAGGAAATACCCTCATATAGTCAACTGAGGGAACAATGCAGGGGGACCCTGTCGCCATGGCAATGTACGCACTAGGCCTGTCTGTGCCCCAACATACAATAAAATATGAAACAACCGTGGTCAAGCAAGTGGCATACGCTGATGACCTAACAGGAGCAGGAAAAGTGGAGGACATCAAAATGTGGTGGGACCTGGTAACATCACGAGGTCCACAAATAGGGTCCCATCCAAACGCCAACAAGTCCTTCCTCATTGTGAAGCCAGAACACTATGAACGGGCAATGGAGGTGTTCGGTGGAAGTGAGGTCAAAATAACAAAGGATGGCCAAAGACATCTAGGTGCGGTAATTGGCACGAAGGACTTCAAGACCGAGTACGTCACGGGAAAGGTGAATGAGTGGGTTAAGGAAATCCAAGCTCTGTCTGATATTGCTAAAATAGAGCCACATGCGGCTTTTGCGGCAGTCACCCATGGAGTCAAGTATCGCTGGAATTACCTGAAGCGCACTATCCTTGATGTCGGACCCCTCCTCCGCCCTCTGGAAGAAGCCATCAATGTCGCTTTTATCCCAACACTAGTGAGAAACGCTCACCTAACCCCAGCAGAAGGGTCACTCCTTGCATTACCACCGAGACTAGGAGAAATGGGATTGACTAATCCAGTGGAGCTTGCCCGTAAAGAGTATCAGAACTCTGTCAAGCTCACGGCAGCTCTCACTGAGCACACAATAGATCAGAAAGCAACGAGTCAAGTGGATACCAACGAATTAAACAAGATTTGATGGTCCATTACGACAGAGCGGAAGCACTCCCAAAGTGATAAACTGCAACAACTGTTGCAACACGTGTCAGAGAATGTGTAAAGAAAGTAGCTATAGCGCAGGAGGTGGGCGCCTCAAACTGATTTACAACGTTACCGATAAGGGCAAAAGGCTTCATCCTTAATAAACAAGAATTCACAGATGCCATTGCTCTAAGGTACGGTAGGCCAGTAGAAGGTTTGCCTTCCAATACGTGTGTCATAAGATGTATGACATCGACCACGCCATGGTGTGCAAGAAAGGGGGCTTCGTATGCATGAGGCATGACGAAGTAAGGGATCTAACAGCAAATCTACCGAGGAAAATCTGCCACGACGTCATGGTGGAACCGTTCCTCCTTCCATTGGACACATCAGTCCAGCTTGTCACCTCTCCGCCCTTCCCTCATAAGAACCAGTATAATCTTGTGCCTGGGACTAAATCAGATGTTCGGAGGCGGACGTAACTGTCGCCCAAGGTGCTGTTCATTATGCCTGGTAACATTCTTTGCTGCGTCTGTGCTAGCCCAAACCAAAACTGCACAAATGGGGTTTGTGCGAGAAACAACCGACCGTGTGTGGATTGCAGGAAGCTAGACCAGTGTCGGAACCCACGTCGCAGGGAGCCGACACAGGTGGCCACAGTGGATATCGCCGGGACCCAACCACCCGATGATATCCGAAATGATAGCAGTGAGTCTACTCAACCTGAAAATGTAGTACTAATAAATGCTGCTTCCTTAGTAGCAGGTGTCCACGAGGAGAATGAGAGACAGCCACCTCAGTGGAATGGTATGTCGATGGAAGTTTAGTTTAACAAATTTATTGGCAGAGCTTGTAGTACAGTTTGCCTATTCTGAGTAATTCAGTCAGGTCTTGACACTGAGGGTGGTATCACTTCTCACTGTCATGCAGGACAGAGGTTCACACACAAAGAAATACATCATATTCATTAACAACTATAAATGTATATAGGTCAGGTTCATATGGATAATGTCACTGTTCACTGCCATGCAGGACAGAGGTTCGTACACAAAGAGTTGCATCATATTCATTGACAGTACATATACATATATGTAAACACACACACACACACACACATATACATACATATCCGTATATACATACACATATACATGTACACGTACATATACATGCACACACGCACACATACATACATATACGTCGGTCAGATTCATGTGGGTAATGTCACTTTTCACTGCCATACAGGACAGAGGTTCGTACACAAAGAATGCATCATATTCATTGACACTATATATAGGTCAGATTCATGTGGGTAATGCCACTGTTCACTGCCACGCAGGACAGAGGTTCGTACACAAAGAAGGAAATACATCACATTCACCAGCAGCATATATAGGTCAGTGGATCACATACATTGGAGTCATATTCTAATTGAAGACTAATCAGTGTGGGCTAGCAAATTTGGGATAAACAGCAATAGTGTCGATGGAAAATGCAGACATATGGGTCAAAGAAACCTACTCAGAAATTGTCAAGTGGTCGCCCGCTAACTTATTTGAGCCACCCAAGTGTGCGGCCACCAAAGAAATGATTCGGGAGATGACTCGCCTCATGACTGATTACACTCAGGACCGCTTCCTCGCCCCTTTAGCTCTTCAAATACTGGCATTAATACCACATCTATTTTGTCAGAGGACAGGTACGATGACAAGCTGGGCCACCATGGAATCCAGTTCCTGCTTGACTGAATCCCTGAAGGCGAGAGGAATCAACCGGGGAGTGCGTATGGCAAACGGCTGTGCATC